TGCCTGCCTTCCCCCGGGCCGGGGCCCCGCCGCTAGCTGCCAGCGACACGGTGCCCGCGGTGCCCGAGGGGGCCGGGGCGGCCCGTCCCGCCCTGCCGCCGCGCCCCACCTCCTTCTCGGTGCTGGACATCCTGGACCCCAACAAGTTCAACAGCAGGAGACGCCGCTGTGTGCTGCTGGCGCCCGCCGCGTGCGCCCCGGCCCCGTGCGCCCCGGTCGCCCCCGCCCCAGGGCGCCCGCCGCGCGCAGAGGAGCTGGAGCGCCGCGCCCTCGCCGCCGCTGGAGAAGCCGGAGCCGCCGCCGGAGCTGAGCCCCCGCGTGAGTAGGACGCGGCCGGAGCAGGGGGACGGGCCGTGTCTACGCGCTGACGCTCCCGGGACTCCTCGGCGAGCCTGGAGCGCCGGGGGTCGAGGCTCGGGGGGAAGTTCGCAGCGCGCGGGGTCCGCGCCAGCCCGCCCGCGGCCTCCGTCCGACCCGGACTCTGGGGCCCGCCGCGCACCGCGCCTCGCGATGGCTCTGCCGGGCGGGCCCGGGGCTGCGGAGCTGCAGGACGGCCGAGGTTTGCCCACCGCGCGCCTCCAGCTTCGGAGGGTGGCAGGTGCCTGAGAAGGGGACGTGCGTGGCGGCTGGCCCGCGACCTCCCCGCCCCCACTGCAGCCGCCGGAGGCCTGCTTTCCTCCTTTTTTTTTTTTTTTCGTTTTGGACAAATCAGACTAATTGTGACAAAATGCTGGTTATCTCTGGAAAAACAATTAAATCCCTTCGATTACAGTTAAGGGGAAATGTGCTTAGCGGCGGAAAGCGGCCGGTAATGGGGCGGCCCGCGCCCCGGCCGGGTCGATATCCCATTACGGCGGCATGCATATCTCTTTCAAGCACCTTGCAAACTCCCCCCGAACATCTAAATTATAGGGTCAAAATTCGGATAATTACTCGATTAAAACCTATTACACTTATTAGGGGCCGCTATTGATCGAGAATTGCATTCGACCGGCTCTTGATTGCTTTTGGTGCCCCCCGCACCCCCCCCCCAAGCCCTTCCTCCCGCCAACTTCCCGGCCCCTCGCTGGAAGGACCGGAGCGCAGGGCGGGTAGGACTGGGGCCTGGGTCCCTGCACTCCGCTCCTTCTGGGTGGGGCTGAGCCGAAGGAGCGGCAGCCCAGGCGGGTGGAGGGGACCCTGGTGCTTTCGGCCTGGCCCCGGCGCTGGGAGCCTCCACCCGCATGGGGAGCCCGAGCCCGGAGGAAGGCCCCGTCTCTTGCCGGCTCAGGGAGGAAGCTAGGTTAAGCCCCCTCAACCACCCTTGGACAGGGCAGAGGCTGGAGGTCAGGGTGCTCTCAGGGTCTTCGTTCCTGCTATGGGGTGTGGGTTGGGGGGCCAGGACGCCTGCCCTGTGGGTTTGCAAACCTCTGCCGTTGCCCTGGATGAATCTGCCAGGACTGAATTTGTGCTTTATTTTCTGGTTTCTCGGTGCCAACCTGACCCCTCAGCGAGGCCTTGGTGCCCCACTGAGTGGCACAGTGTAGGGTGCCTGCCCTGGCTTCTCTCATGGTGGTACTCGTGGGGGTGCGAGCTGCATAGATGCCCCCCAAAGCCCTGCCCAGGCCACTTCCTTCCAAATTTCGGAGACTCAAAATGCAGCCGCTGCTGGGCCTCTGCTTGGACTTGGCCTGTGGGCCTATCGGGGACTCCCACCCCACGCGGTGCCAGCACTGCCCAGGACCCCCACCTCCCAAGCCAGGACCTCTGCACAAGGCCAGGCCCGCAGGGGCCTCCGCAGAGGGTCCAAGGGAGGCCAAGTTCCAGCCCGGAAGCTTGAGGTAGAGACGGGGCCGGGGCAGCCGATTTTGGTCCCCAGAAGTCCCCTCCCGGTGGCCTGCTCCAACCCACCCCAGGCCTGTGGCCCCCGCGGCTCTTAAATGCCCGGTAATTGGCTGGCCCCGCGCCTCGCCGTAATTGGAGGGTAATATACGCCGAAATAAATTAAATGGCCCTTAACTAGTTTGTACATTACACGAAATGAGTTTAATTAAGTTTGTATCTGCACCGTGGATCGATCTACGCTTTCGCGCCGCCGGGAACCCCGCGGCACCGGCGGGTCCCGCTCGGGCAAAGGCGCGGGGCTCGGAGAGCGCGGGGACCTGAGGAAAGGAGGACCGGGCGGAGGGCGGCGCGCGGGCGGCCGAGGAGGAAACAGCAGCGGGCGGTGCGCGGAGGGCGGCAACGGACCCGGGGGGAGCGGGCGAGCCGGGAGGGCGGCGCGGGTCCTAACTGTCCTGTCCTCCCCCGCCCCGTCCGTCCCCGCCCGCAGACGCCGGCGACCCCCATCAGGCGGACGAGGCCGAGGCCAACGGCTACAGCAGCGGCGGCGGCGGGGGCCGCAGCCCGAGCGCGGACAGCGGGGACGAGGCGCCCGACGACGACGACGACGAGGACGAGGCGCCGGAGGCGGGGGCGTCGCGCAGCGCGGAGGAAGCGCGGGGAGGCGGCGGCGGCCTCGCGGCCCGCGGGTCGGGCTGTCCGGGCGCGGCCGAGGC